ATCCTGTTTCTTTGACTTTTCTACACACTGTCGTTTTCTTATCTTATTTCTCACTCAGAAAACACTTGCGTCTCGGTGACATTATTTGCCTTGCTTACGGAGAAACCATTTAAAAAGACACTCTGAAATCTTTTTCTTCGTCGTCGTCTTCTTTCTTTTTTTTTTTTTCTTCTTCTTCTTCTTCTTCTTCTTCTTCTTCTTCTTCCAAATTTATCACCATTATCGTAATCTTCTTCTTCTTCTTCTTCTTCTTCTTTTTCTTCTTCATGCTATGTCCCTTCAGGATGTTAAAGATCATTGTTCTTCACAATTTCCTGAAAAACAGAAAACGACCGGAATTTGAACTCGGCACGTCGATTTTACTTTTCCCACCCAAAAATATATCTTCTTCTATGTGTCGTATCCCCAAAGACATTGACGGTTATGGCTCTTCACAATTTCCTGTAATTTGTAGCGTTTGATAAATTTTGTCTTTTTGTTATCTCTCCTAAATCTTGCTCTGCCATCCATTTACACAAGCTCATTCTTCTTCTATGTGCTGAGTCCCTTCAGGACATGTTGTGATCATGGCTCTCCACAATTTCCAGTCCTTTGTAGCTCTTAATAAATTTTGTCTTTTTGTTATCTCTCCTAAATCCTGTTCTGCCATCCATTTACACAAGCTCTGTTAGGTAGGCTATGCTCTGCTTTCCTCCTCCCTTCTTGACTTCAATATGTCCTGTGAGTATCAAATTCTAAAAGCGTTCTTTCTTCATTATTTACCTTAGAGATTTCAACTGTCTCTTTTTGATGTCAATATAAATGTTCTTTTCGTTTCCATCTTCTCTAAAACTTCGTCGTTGCGCACATGCTCAGTCCGGGATATTCTCAGCATCCTTCAGTAAAACCCGATTTCTGTTACCTTAAGTCTCTTTTTCCTCTGTGATGAGATTGTCCCGCATTCACTCCCCTATAGGAGGATCGATGTTACATCACAGTCAAGAACTCTTTTCATTCTAATGAAATTTTCTAGTTTCTTAATATTTTGCTTAGATTTTGGAAGACATCTTTTGCTATCTCAATGTACCTTTGGATTTTGGTGGCGCATTTTTCGTCTTCTGTTAAACCATTTCCTAAATATCTAAGTTTTTGCATTTGCTTAATTTTGGTGCATCTAATTTGGAATTCGCGGTTTGGATGCTACTTGTTTTAATAACTATACACCCTTGTGCAAATTAATTGAAACAAACCGCTTTAGTTTCCTTTCTTTCACCACACGGTCCGTTTTAGACCCACTAGAGTGACAGGGTGTAATCGATTTGTATTTTTTTCCTCAGATTAGGTCATTTGCAGTGGTGTGCAGTAATATGAATCTATTTTTGGTGTGAGTGATAAAATTTGTTTGGCCTTGAAAAATATTGCGTCACCCGTGATGGCATCAGATTTTTATCTCGGCCAGACTTTGTAGCTTTCATTCTGTGTCTGCTATCAATACTGTGTCATCTACATACTTGTTTATATGTTATTTATTCCAGTATTAATTACATTTATCGGTTTGAATGTTCAAGATTAATTACATTTTAATTAATTACATTAAATAATTAATTATATTTATAGGTCTGAATGTTCAAGAAAATTCGTAAAAAATATGCATTCTCCAACATTGCTCTATGGAAACCGTAATTTGATCTGACGTTCTATACTATTTAGCTACAGAGAAGCGTGTGGTTAGCAAAGGCCGGTAAATGTAATTAATACTGTTTAATTAAAAACAGCGCATTTGCTTAAATAAATTGTATCTATAAAAATAACGTATAAACAGAAAATATATTAAATACCTGTATAGGTTGAATAAGTCCGGTGAGAAGACACATCCTTGTCTTACAGCACTTTCTATCTTTCTTTAGCTGCTTGTTTCTGGTGTTTCCATTTTCTCTAATTCGACGTTTATGTGTGCTCGATTGCAATGTTTTTTTTGTTTTTTTTTTAAATGCGATGTCTTTTCACGATGTAAGCAGACATAGATCATTACAACTTTCTGCTCTTTGAAGCTCTAAGCAATGTTTGGCGCTTTACCATCTTGCTTTAACCCCCCCAGCTCTTCCATACATTCACCTAAAGTTATTAGGTAGGCTAGTGACCGTTAGGCTTCACTGTGTCCTTCACTATATCCTGAATTGAGGACTTCAGATATCTTGGATCTCACATCATAGATTCCTCAAAAGACTTCAACATCTGCAACAAAGATCACAAGATTTGGCGCTTGCACCTTCCATCCTCTTTAAAAGTCCAAAACGTTCGAACACTGATTGAACCATTCCTTCAGTATTGATTGGAGAGTTGATGGAAATCTTCTGAGAAAAATCAAGAACATCAGTTGGAGATCCCATGCAACGGTTAACACAATTTACGAAGAACTGAGAGCAATATCTCTTAAGCTCAAACAAAAGTGATTGCCGTTTGCAGACCATTGCCACCGATTAGACGGGGAGTTCGATTAATCCTTCTACAGGATCATCTGGAGTTGTCTTCTCACGAAAGTTGACTTTCCAGAGACACCATGGCTCTGGACTCAGGCTTGGACATTGGGGATCTGGCGATAGCAATGCAGGACCGAGCAGTGTGGAAAGATATTGTTAATGGAGTTCCGACCAACCACAAGGAGGTCGAAGGATAATGATGATGATGACTATCGATACGAACAGATGGTTCTATCTCCTAGATATTATCGACACGGGAAGATGGTTCTATCTTGAGACACTGTTGAAAAGTGCCTAAAAACTATAATACGTGTTAGCATAATCTCAAATAATATCGTCTGAATCTCACATCATAGATTCCTCAAAAGACTTCAATATCCGAAAATCTCCTGCATGGGACGCGCTTAACAAATTTCACAAGATTTGGCGCTCGAATCTTCTATCCTTCTTAAGAGTCCAAACCTTTAGAACATTGTTTGAACCAGTCCTACTGTATGGGTCAGAAACTTAGACATTATCCACTCGTCTTGTCTTGAAAGACGACTGGATGAAACATATACAAATCTACCGTAATTCCCCATGTATAATACGCATTTTTAAAAAATAATAAGCAGTATTAGGGGTGCGTATTATGCACAGCTACAAAAATCTTTTAAAAAATTGCCGTAAAATAAAATTAAAATTAGACTAATAATATTCTATGTTCAAAAATATTTTTTTAAAATAAGAGTGGGAAACGCTGGCCGTAATCAAATTAGAGAGGTACAATTTATAGGGTTTGATTACCAAACAAAGGGTTCGTATTATGCATGATTAGAAGCATTTTCCCACAATTTCAGCACAATTTTAGGTATGCGTATTATACATGGGGAAATACGGTACTTAGAAAAATCCAGAACATCAGTAAGAGATCCTGTGCAACGCTTAACACAATTTACGGAGAACTGTGACCAATCTCGCTTAAGCTCAAACAAAAACGTTTACAGTTTGCCGGCCACTAAAACCGAGCGGACAGGGAAATCGTCTCATCTTTACTCGAAGGATGATGATAATGATGATCTATCTGTTTATCTATCTAGCTAGCTAGGTAGCAAGCTTTCCCGAGTGGACAGAGAAGTTGCCTCATCTTTACTCCTATGGCATTATTCTGGAAGTGTCTTCTCCGACACCATAGCTCGAGTCGCAGGGTTGGACATTGGATATCTGGGGACATCAGTGCAGTAGCGAACAGTGAGGAAAGGGTTTGTCAATAGAGTTCCGAACAACCACACAGAGGTCGACGGAAGATGAGACTGAATCATTTCCAAATCTTTCCTCGTCATGTGACGTAGAAATTTCAACTAGTTTCTTATTGCAAGCATTCTAAATTCCAGTTTCTTTAGAATTTTCTCCTTGTTTACGTGTTTAGTACATGTTAGTTCTAGCATGGGTCTGTAGAACCACGTGGGTCTCTTCATCCGTCAAGACATTTTTAAGCAGGTACACTCTCATACAGGACGTAACATTTCAAGAGAGAGCATTTCAGCATTCTCTTCTTACTTTTCCTGTTTCAGTTAAATCTCCTCTTGATGCTCATTATTTCTGACCTTGTGTAAGACAAAGTAAACCTACATGAACATCACTAACATACATATTAAGTGCTCATTTTACAGTTGTGCATGTGCATAACTTTTCCCGACATTTCTGAGTGGCGATTATCTTTTCCGTCTTTTTCTTCATTTTTTTTCTTTCTTTTTTTTCTTTCTTTTATTTTTTTTTTTTCGTCTTATGATTTTGGCACAGAAGATTAGAAGAATGGATTTGAAATTCTAGAACTCTGGAAGTTACACATGATTGTGGCGGGCAGAGGAGAAGATTTTTAAAACCATTTTGCCAAAGACTTATTATTATAATTATTTTATTCTACGATTTTAGCTTTCTTCAGTAAATTCTGTGCACTTGTCTCAAAACACACAGACGGACAAACACAGATTTGTATACAAATATTATACGCAGCGATATTTTTATATAGTTTATCAATTTATTATGCGTTTTTAGATAGATAGATAGATAGATAGATAGATAGATAGATAGATAGATAGATAGAAAGGGACAAGCAAATGAAGATAAAGAAAAAATGAGTATATTTAGAAAGAAAGAAACAAACAAAGAAACAAATAAACAAAAGAAAAAAGAAAGTGGTCAAGAAAGATAGAAAGTGAGTAGGTTTTGATAGAAAGAAAGAAAGAAAGAAAGAAAGAAAGAAAGAAAGAAAGAAATTAAAGGACAAACAAACGAAGATAGAAAATGAGTTCGTTTAGGAAGAAAGAAACAAACAAACAAACAAAAGGGAAAAAAAGTCATCAACAAAGATAAAAAGTAAGTAGGTTTTGATAGATAGATAGATATTAATATATTGAGATAGATAGATAGATAGATAGATAGATAGATAGATAGATAGAGAGAGAGAGATAGAGAGAGAGAGAGAGAGGGAGAGATAGAAAGAAAGAAAGAAAGAAAGAATGAAATTAAAGGGCAAACAAACGAAGAAAATGAGTTAGTTTAGAAAGAAAGAAAAAAGAAAGAAAGAAAGAAAGAAAGAAAGAAAGAAAGAAAGAAAGGAAAACAAACAAAAAAGAAAGTGATCAACAAAGATAGAAAGTGAGTAGGTTTTGACAGACAGACAGACAGATAGATAGATAGATAGATAGATAGATAGATAGATAGATAGATAATTACATGTTTTAAAATTACAGTAATATAATCAGCTGTGAAATAAATAAACTGTTACCTTTCAACTCTGTCCGTCTCATACCACTGAAACTGAGTTCGCTTCTCTCCGTGTGCTTAGATGCGGATTGAACAATTTATAGATGTGTCGAATCAATCAAGGTCTACTTTGAATCGATTTTTTCACGGGAGACTGATTTGTTCAGTACCCCATTTATTCTCTTCTACATTAACCATTATTTCATGACAATGACGTTACCGCCATTTTTTTTAAGTTCGTTATTGAACATCGCGCAGGAAATCATGCTCTTTTCCCGAAACACTCTCAGCTGGCAAAAGAGTCCGAATAATATATTTCACCTGAGAATTTTTTTAAATATTAGGAAGGACGAAGAAGATATCGGCCAAAAATGCTGTATTTCTTATTTAACTAACAATCCTAGGGGCACCATGTACTGCAGACGCAGTAGAAATGGCGTTTCCTGGGCAAGAAGTCCTGACGGAGCCCAAGGCCGGTTTTAAATTCAGAAATTTTCCTTCTCATAGATCGGTTGCCACCCAAAGCTATAGAACTCAGGTTGTCCTGCAGCTGGGGAAAAGAAAAGGGTCCATACCTTTCCCAAGGGTATTAGCACGTAAGTGAATGAAATGGATCCGACTGGAATTCGAACTCAGCTCTCCGAGTCCTCAGTCCGAGCCGTTATCCATTACCCCACCGTCCCTCCTTAGTAATAGCAAAAACAATTCGTTTCAAAACTTTAGAAAAGAAACACTAGGAAGTCCATAGTAGGTATCTGGAGAAAAAAAAACGATTTTTAATCATTTCACCCCTAGCAATAAAACCACTAGGGCGCAAGGTGTTAAGGAATATTCGAGAATATAAGGAAAAAAAACTACTTTCGAGGGGGAGAGGACAATAAATGAACAAGAATTAAGAATTAATATTTCATCTAAATTTTTAAAAATCAAATGGAAGGCAACAAGCTGAACGAGAGTTCCACAAACGAGAAGCGCGATAGAAGAAACTGTTAACAAAGAACTTGCGGTTACATTTAGCCATTTCAACTGTAAAATGGCGAGACCTAACCGCCAATCTAGTACTGCACTGAAATTCATAAAGTCTAGGTAACATAACAGAAAGGTCATCAGAACAATTACCATGTAAGTATTTATTGAAAGGGCACAGGGAATCTACATTACAGCAGTGGGAATGTGACTGAAGCCGAGATGCCTGGTCAGGGACAATAATATTGCAGATTCTTATTTCGCTCTTATCAAGAATCTCTGTATATATAACAGGAGCATCAGACCATATGTGTGCAGCAATATTCAAATCAAGGACGAATGGTAGACTTATAAATATGTAAGATAGATTTTGTTTAGAGAAATCGTCAAGCCGACACAGTGAACAAACCTTCCTAACAATAAACTTAGCAATTAATGCAATATAGTCTTTCCACTTCTTCTCTGCGGATAACAGTAATCCGTTCAGCCTGAATGAGTCACTCTTCTGGAGGTTAGCATCAGCCAAGGGTTTTCGTAGACGATTAAAAGAGACCAGTTTCGTTTTGGAGGTGTTAAAATGAACGAGCTATTCCTTACCCCAGTTAATAAGAGATTGTATGATTTTTTTTTAAATCAGCTGCCAATCTGAGCTTATCGTATCGATTAGTTTTACCATTAAGACAGGAGTAAGTAGTTGAGTTATCAGCATAGATGTCGAGTTGAGAATTGATGACAACAGGAAGGTTATTTATTGAAAAGACACAGAGAATCTATATTACAGCGGATGGAAAATGTCTGAAGCCGAGATGCCTGGTCAGGACTAATAAAGTTGCGGAATTTTCATCGGATTTTAACAAAAAACTCTAAATATATAGCTGGAGAACTGACCATACTGGTGCAGCAATATTCAAAGCGAGGACGAATGGTAAACTTATAAATAATATTCTGACGAGAAAACACCAATTTTCTTAGCTACAGACTTAGCAATTGATTTATTATATTTCCACATCATGTCAACTGAAAACGTTAGTCTGAGAAGACACAATGAGTGACTTACGTGGAGGTTGTCATCAGCTATACTGATGGAAGATAAAAAGTTTTCTCTCAGGTGATTAAAAGAAAGTAGTTTCGTTTTGTGGGCGTTAAAATTAACAAGCCACTCCTTGTCCTATTTAACAAAAGATTGTAGGTCATTTTTGAGATCATCTGCCAATTTCGAACTAATAACACAGGAGTAAATAGTTGTGTCATTGGCATAAATGTCGAGTTAAGAACAGATGACAACAGAAAGGTCATTTATGAAGATTAATAACAATCTACATCCAAGGATAGAGCCTTGAGAAACACCTGCATTAATGCAAAAAGATCTAGAAGAGTGGCCATTCAAGATAACATTCATTTCGCGATCGAATAAGAAAGACTAAATCAGTTCCTACAGTTATCCAGAAATATCAGAACATTTCAACTTGTGAAGAAGACCAGTATACCATACCCTGTCAACTGCCTTCGAGATATTCAAATCAAAAGCCCGAATTGAGAACCGGTGACATCATGAAGGTTATTTATGAAAATTAGAAAACAACGTAGGTCCATAGATAGAACCCAGGGGATACCTGTACTCATAGGAAAGAAGAGTGGCAAGACAACTTTCATTTCGCGATTTGATAAGAAAGATAGAATGAGTTCAAAGATTCGTTCAAAAATACCATAATCTTTCGACTTGTGAAGAAAACCAGTATGCGAAATCCTGTCAACTGCCTTCGAGATATCTAAATCAACAGCTTGAGCTTCACGATTCTTATCTAAAGCTTCATAAATCCTTTCGGCAATAATCGTTAGTACATCAACAGTTGACCTAGAGAAGCGAAAGCCATATTGTTTACCTGAAAGAAGATCCTGCGAGTTGAAACGTTTAACCAATTCAGTGTTAATTAGAGCTCCTAGTACCTTGCCAAAAAGAGTTAGGAGGCTAATACACCGATAATTAAAAATGTTAGACAATCCGCCTGATTACTTAAAAACTGGAACTACAAAAAAGGATTTCCAACAAGTAGGAAAGGAAAACCAGTAAGGCATTCATTGTTGAGTTTAGAGAGAACTGATGTGAAGGTAAGCAGTTGGAAAATATGGTGGAAATAAAAAGACTATATATCAAAACTGCAGTAAATATTTGCCATTTATGTTTGATCCGAAATGCATTTACTTGTTTCGAAAATAGGTAGACATTGGTCATTTATATTTGATCCTAAAAGCATTTACATGGTTCGGGGATATGTAAATGTTGATCATTTATATTTGATCTTAAAGCATTTACATGGTTCGGGGATATGTAAATGTTGATCATATATATTTGATCCTAAAATCATTTGCATGGTTCGGGGATAGGCAAACACTGGTCATTTATATTTGATCCTAAAAGCATTTAAATATTTCGGGGATAGGTAAATGTTGGTCATTTATATTCGATCATAAAGCATTTACATGGTTCGGGCTTGGTAAATGTTGGTCATTCAAATTTGATCCTACAAGCATTTACAAGGTTCGGGGATAGGTAAACATTGCTCATTTATATTTGATCCTAAAAGCATTTCAATATTTCGGGGATAGGTAAATGTTGGTCATTTATATTCGATCCTAAAAGCATTTGCATGGTTCGGGCATAAGTAAAAAAATGGTCATTATATTTGATCCTAAAAGCATTTACATGGTTCAGGGATAGGTAAATGTGGGTCATTCAAATTTGATCCTACAAGCATTTACAAGGTTCGGAGATAGGTAAACATTGGTCATTTATATTTGATCCTAAAAGCATTCAAATATTTCGAGGATAGGTAAATGTTGGTCATTTGTATTTGATCCTAAAAGCATTTCATGATAAGAATTTAAAAGGTTAATTGTCGAAATAATTGTCTCTGAAAGTGTATAACATTTTACCATCTTCATCTTCAAAGTCGTGTATTTAAAAGCTACTTTGTTACGGACAACTTATAAAGCACAAAGGTTCGTATTTAAAAGCTACTTTGTTATGGTCGACTTCTAGGCACTGAGGCTTGTATTTAAAAGCTACTTTGTTACAATCAACTTCTAAGGCACTGAGGCTTGTATTTAACAGCTACTTTGTTACAGTCAACTTCTAAGGCACCGAGGCTTGTATTTAAAAGCTACTTTGTTACGGTCGACTTTTAAGGCACGGAGGCTTGTCTTTGATATCTATTGGGTTATCAAGGCGTCTATGGCAAACATTGGCCATTTATACTTGATCCTAAAAGCATTTACTTGGTTGATGGATAGGCATATATTGGTCATTTATATTTGATCCTAAAAGAATTTACATTGTTCGGGTTTAAGCAAATATTGGTCATTTATATTTGATCTTTGTATTTAAAAGCTATTGTGAGGCCTTGGGCTTTTAATGTGCCGCACATTGTATTTAAAGGCCGTTTTTGCTATTGGCTTCTGGAGTGCAGAGGCTTGCCTTTAAAAGTTAATTTGTTTGAATTTGATTCTGATATACTGTGGATTTCATTTTAAAGCTATTTTTTCCATCAGTCCCTACGGTACAGAGGCTTGTATTTAAAAGCTATGTTGTTGTCGTCGGCTTCTATGGTACCGAGATTTGTATTTTAAAGCTATTTTGTCGCCATTGGCTTCTTAGTTACCAAGGATTGTATTTAAATATATTTTGTTACCGTCAGCTTCTAAGGTATCGAGGCTTGTATTTTCTGTGGAGCAACAAAACTTGATTCGTTCAAATCAATGAAGTAGCTGGTGTGGTTGGAACGAACCAATCGGCTTACAAAAGCGATAAGGACTTAATCTCCAGAAAAAGCATTTTTTGTTTTTTATTATTATTATTTTGTAGTTCGATCGATCGATCTTGTTTAGATGTCGGTGTCGTCTCTGATTGATCAAGAGTTCGATTAGTGACTTGGGAAACCAGAGATCGATAAGTTATGTTTGTGTTCATGGTAAAGAAACTTTTAACTTCCAGCACCTTTATTCCACGAATAGATAATAGACTCTTTGCTGGATT